ACCTCACACAGTTTGAACCCATCACCTCTTGTCCTATCACTCCAGTCCCTGATAAAGGTCCCTCTGCAGCATCCTTGTAGCCCCCTTCAGACCCTGGAAGCTGCTCTGAGGTCTCCAGCAGCTTCTCTTCTCCAGGCTCAACAGCCCCATAAAGGGAATTGGGGTGGGCTGGGATGGGAACTTGCTGTCTCCTTCCAGCTGGCCCTGCGAGCCGGCAATGAGAAGGAGGAAGGTGAGACTGCGGACACCGTCGGCTGCTGCTCCCTACGTGTGGAGCACATCAGGCTGCACCCTGAGCTGGATGGGCAGGAGCATGTGGTGGAGTTTGATTTCCTTGGCAAAGACTCCATCCGTTACTACAACAAAGTGTCCGTGGAGAAGCTGGTGAGTGGGGCAGAAGCAGAGGCAGTGGCCAAGATGGCATTTCGGTGCAGGGTTACCTGGGTGGCTTGGGGCACTCAGGGGTCATCAGTCCCAAATCTGCATTGAAACCTGTTGCAATGATGCTTCCTGGTCTTTAACACCATGGTAGCAGCATGTGTGTGAGATGCAACAGGGGTGGATGATGCCATGCACTTACTAACCCTGTCCTGGGTGTGAGGACAGGCACATACTAACCCTGTCCTAGGAAAACTCTGGGATAGGACTTCCAATATTGTTCTAGCCCATGAACCATAAGAGAAGTCCTGCTCCTACTGGAGCATCCTCGTTGACTGGTGGGCGTTAGGACTTGAACTGTCCTCATTGGTATCTTACTTTTTTGCTTTGCCCACGGGATAGATGATGTTAATAGTGTTTGTGTGGAAACTGGAGTGCAAAGGACAGGAGAGATGGAGGGGGGAAACAGCCCGTGACACCAGTGGCTTTGAGGTCTCTTGAAGTTGGGCAGGTTGGAGGTGTGGTAGGATGTGTATTGCATGAGCCTGAATCGGGGTCTACATGGATGAGGACACGGGTGGAGATGATGGAGATGTCTGGGAGCAATTTGCTCTTGTCCCTGACCAGGGCTTTCCTCCTCTTTTAGGTGTTCAAGAACCTGAAGCTGTTTATGAAGAACAAGAACCCAGCAGATGACCTCTTTGACAGGCTCAATGTGAGTTGTCTTCTCTAAGCTTTTAAAACAGCAGTGATGGCCCAGAGGGAGTAGAAGCAAACCCATGACACCCCTGTCCAGCCTTCATGCTCCCAGGCTGTGGTACTGCCTCAATGTCACCATTTACCCTGGTTTTAACAGTTCCCCTTTAGAGACACCACTGACTGTTAGAACATGGCGTTGGGATGCTGGGGTATCTTTTCCCATCCTCTTTCTGGACTGGTACAATCCCTGCTTCTCCGAGTGCCAGCTTGGCTGCTTCCTGCACCCACGAGTAACCTGTGTCCCTGCTGAGGAGGTGGCTTTCTGCTCCTTCCCTCCTCTAACTCATCTGCTTGGGCTTTATTTTTAGCTTGGGAACACTTGCCCACACACATGTTGCTCGGGGCATTGCTGGAGGTGTCAAACCTCAGCTCTTCGATGCTTTCACACCTCGCTGGGGCTCAGCAGAAGGGTGAGAGGCTGCTGGAGCACAGGGGTGCTGGGGAGAGGTGCTGCAGCCTTCCTGCCCAAGCTGCTCCCATCCAGAAGCCTCCTCCATCTCTTCCTCAATATGGGGAATGGGATGCTGCCACCCATCACTGCCTGCATCACCTACAAAGCCACTTGCCCATCTTGTGTATGAAGAGGCTGATCCTCTCAAGTTGGATATATCTGGGACAAGCTTTTTGGTACAAAGAAGGCTTCCTCTAGACCATAGATGACTCTTCTTAGCATCTTCTGTTTCCAGTCCCAATGCAGCCCCATGTGCTCTGTAGAATAGAGATGAGATGTGATATTGAGTGCAAGTTGTGTCCTTTTGGACATGGGTAAGCAGAAATCACTCTGATGAGACCTCACTTGCAGCACTGGGTGCAGTTCTGGTGTCCTCAATGTAAGGAGGACATGGAGCTGTTGGAGCAAGCACAGATGAGGCCATGAGGATGAGCAGGGGCTGGAGCAGCTCCCGTATGGAGACAGGCTGAGAACATTGGGGCTGTTCAGCCTGGAAGAGGTAAATGCTCTGACCTTGGCATTGTTCGAGGCCAGGTTGGACACAGGGGCTTGGAGCAACCTGCTCTAGTGGAAGGTGTCCCTGCCCATGGCAGGGGGTTGGAACTGGATGAGCTTTAAGGTTCCTTCAACCCAAACCATTCCATAACAATATGACTCCCAGAGAGATTCCTTGTGGGTTTAGGTGGGATTTTTGCCAGGTTTTGGTAGGTGAGGATCTGACCCAACACATAAATCTGCAAACTAGTGGGAGACTTTAATGCCTGACCTGGTTGCTTAGGCAGAAGATAGTCTGAAAAGCAAATGTTTTATTGTCTTAGCCTCTGCTTGTTCTCTTCCTTCCTTTCCCCCACACTCAGTCCTGTTCTCCTCCCTCCAGACATCCATCTTGAACAGACACCTCCAGAGTCTGATGGATGGTTTGACTGCCAAAGTGTTCAGGACCTACAATGCCTCCATCACGCTGCAGGAGCAGCTCAAGGCCCTCACCAACTGTGAGTTACTACCAGTGTGTGTGGTATCACCAGCTGCATTGTGTGACCAATGGGCTCAGCCATGTCCATCCGTCCCCTTGGGGTCCCCCTCCAACATCCCCTCCTTGGTAGGTGATGCGCCACGTTGTAGGGTGCATTGTAAGTTATGTACCACATAACTTATGGGAGAATGCAGCAGGTTGGGAACCATGCTAAGTGAGGAATAGGCACCTTCTCTGACTGAGAGCCATGATGGGAGTATTTCCCCCCCTTTCTTTGCATTGCTGTTTGGTGGCATTACTTTTGCCTGCCTTGGATACTGTGCTTCATCACTCATGTACCACTCAGTGATGTTCAAGGGTCCCTTACCAGGTTCCACAACCAGTATTGCTCTGCCCTGGGAAAGGCAAACTACTTGCTTTTGGTCTGTTCCCTGCCTTCCCCAACTTCCCAACTATATCCTAGTGACATAGTTGATGCTTCCGTTTCTTTCCAGCTGAAGACAACGTTGCAGCAAAGCTCCTCTCCTACAACCGAGCTAACCGAGCAGTGGCCGTCCTGTGCAACCATCAGAGGTCTACACCAAAAACCCATGAGAAGTCAATGCAAATCCTCCAGACGAAGGTGAGACAGACCAAACAGGGCCACAGTTGGTGGGTTAAAGGGGGTAAAGGATGGAGAGAGCGAGGGTGAATAACCTGATGCCTAAAGAGATCACGTTGATCAAGTGGGACAGGGAATCAACCAGGAATAGTGGCTTTTTTGATCAGTGCAGAGGCATCAACCTGGGGTAGAGGGGGATGGGGCAAGGTCAAATGCTTGGTGGAGCAATGTGGCACAGAGTTTGGGTTGTATTTCGTAGGGTCATAGAATGGTTTGGGTCGAAGGGACCTTAAAGCTCATCCAGCTCCAACCCCTGCCAGGGGCAGGGACACCTTCCACTAGAGCAGGTTGCTCCAAGCCCCTGTGTCCAACCTGGCCTCAAACAATGCCAAGGTAGCCACAGCTTCTCTGGGCACCCTGTGCCAGCGCCTCAGCACCCTCACAGGGAAGAACTTCTTCCTTAGATCTAACGTGAACTTCCCCTGTTTAAACCCATCACCTCTTGTTCTATCACTACTTTGAGATGCTGAGAAATTCTTGAGCTCCAGCAGATGCTGCCGGGGTGAGTTGTTGAGGGTAGAGTTGGGCTGATAAGAAACTGTGTCAAATGAAAGGGAAAG